AATGGATAGTAAAATTCAATAATGTTCAAGATATTAGAAAAATTTACAAATCAATTAATAATGGATTAGCAAGCCCTTACCTCGCAATAATTGCGAGGTAGTCCCAAGTCATGGAAGCCGTCGCTAGAACCCAAAAATCCCGCCGATCTGAACTCCAATTTTTCCGCCGTAGGTTTACGGGCGAGTCGACTTTGGTAGCACCATTGTGAGTTGTCAAACGACCTAATCTATTAAGGTGCGTGGTTAAAGGGGGCTAGACTTAATGTTCAAGTTATGTCATGTTACTTTATGCATTCGATTATGTATGTCTTATTGGCTTTCTACGTTTAAGTTTCAAGTTATAATTTCAAATAGACAAGTGCATGTATCACTTTAAGTAACAAGAACACGTTTTAGAAACTCGCCTAACTAGCTATGCATGCGTCCACCTCACTTCTCAGGGTGAGGAAGTCCATGTATGTACCCACTCCTTTTGAAAAGGAGTCCATGTTCACGTTTAGGTACCGGTCGGTCATGGGTGTTACACTTCTTTTGATTTTTTTTAGTAAAAAAAAAACGACTCTGAGTTTCTTTCTTTTTTTCTTCTTTCGTTTTGGTTTTGGTCGGCGGCGAGACCCTGGTGGCGACAACCTTGTCTCAAAATGAAAGGTAATATTTCTAAATTTTATGTTAATCTCTTTTTTATTTAGTAATAAACGAAAACTTGATCTAATTCAAAAACTTATTCTTCTTTCTCGTAGGTTTGGATGAGAAACTGGCTGGGTGAGGTTTCCTAAACCCAATTTATTTAGCATAAATTAAGAAGGATGAATGCACTAAAAGATAATACTATCCTGGGTTTTTGGTTTGTTTGCAGATATGAACTTTAGAGAAACATATATTTTTTGAGTTTTCAATTTTTATTAAACCAAACAACGGTTTAACAAAATCTATCTAAAATCAAAATGACTAAAAAGGCTTAATCCTTTAAGAATCGCAGCCGCTGCTTGCGACTTACTAAATCTAAAGAGGTAGTTTTTACTAATTGTATTATAATAGTTGTTTGCGATGTACTAAATCTAGAAAGTAGTTTTTACTAATTGTATTATGATAACTGGGCTTTCGATTGGCCCGTTCAGAGGCTGTCTCTGCAAATTGCTGTCATTCCTTCTTGAAATGCGAAATCGTTGTATATAAGGCGGCCTAGACAGATTTGGGCCGAAGTGGGCCAAACCCATCAACTTCAGTGGGCTCGAATTGAACTGGATATGCAGACCTGTTGCTAGGCTGGAGTGGACTTCAATTTGGGCCGAGCTCTGGGCTTGAACTGGTTTTCCATTTGGTTCTTTTGCAGATTTGTGGCTGGTTTGACGCCAAGGAGATGGCCTTCAAGCCTAGTTTGGGTTTTCATTTGATTGGAATTGTATTTCGCTTTATTTTTGCATATGTTAGCAATTGCGTTTTAAGGGCACATGGAATATTAATCAAGGTCATTGTCTTTTTTTTTTATCGAGATGTAATCCTTTATGGTGATGTATAATTGACAAAACAAAACATATATTTCTTTTATTCAATGGAGCTCATCTCTTATGTCCTATCCAAATCCAAACGCAAACCTTGAGTAGTCTTCTAACGGTAAACCAAACAACCCAAAAATTAAAGTTACTGTTGCTTTCATCCAATTGAGCCAACTTAAAACTAGACATGGGTAGCTTTGGTCATTGATGCTTTAGATTTACCACTGCGAATCTCAAATAATTTATCTAGAATTGTGTAGGAATGATCTTGGTAATCATTAGCGTCATTGGTAATCCTGATCAATTTGATATTAGAATTAAATAAGACTGAAATTTGGAGTCATTCGTACTTATTGACTAACCACTGCTAATGTCAACCAAATCCTTTAAAGCATTCTGTTTAATTCATCATTGTAATTTTTCCTTTTTTGAGTTCAAGTACAGTTGTTGCCCCGAACAAAATGTGGTGTCTACAAATTGGGCTAGCCGGTTTGCCATGATTTTCGTAATAATCTTGTATACAAACTGACATAAGTTTATTGGCCTGAGCTGTCTCATGTCTTCAACATTATCCACTTTAGGGACTAGAGTAAGGCATGTATGATTGAAGATCCGGAGAAGCCTGCTTGTCTTAAAGAAAGCACTAACAGCCTCAATCATCGACGAAACAATCACAAGCCAGAAAGCCTTAAAGAATTTGCCCGTGAACCCATCCGACCCAGGCGCCTGCTTTGACCCCATAGAGAACACCGTTTACCGAATTTCCTCAGGAAGGACAACAGCCGTAAGACTATCATCACTTCAGCTGTTACTGTGCAGGCGATTGGCAGATTGGCAATTCTGGTCTCCATGTTCAGGACTTGATTTTCCGAGGTAAAGAGGGACTGATAAAAATCAGTGGCAATACCAGCCTTTCCTCCTTCCTCGGTAACCCATTCTCCATTGGCATTACGAAGACCGGACACAAAAATCCTTTTACGAGGAGCCCGCGTGACTGTATGGAAATACAACGTGTTCTTGTCACCTTTCTTTAGCCAGCGGACCCTCGATATTTGTTGCCAATAGACTTCCTCTGTCTCCCATTGTCGAGTCAACTCTGCCTCCGGGACACTAACTTCCTCCCAGTTGATTGGACTAATGCGTTTTATTCGATCAATCTCAGCTTGTAAAGTCCGAATATTTCTGAGAGAATTAGTTGTACCCGCACTACTCCAATCACAGAGTAAATGACGAAGTCTTTTAAGCCTCTCCCAAAGATGATACATGGGTGACCCTGATATGATCCAACTTGGATCAATCTACAAGCTAGAGTTGCTTGATCAAGAAGCAATATCATTCACTAACAAGAAATCTGAAATTTATTTAAGTGTTGATACAGTTGCAGGTAAGCCACTTTGCAAGCTTGGTCGTCACACATGGGTCAATGGAAATTGGGTTTCAAGGGCTTGTTTGAACTATGGGATGCTTCTACATAGGTTGGTAAGCCTGGATGCTCGAGATGAAGCCATAAGGGTCATGTTTGGAGCCTCTCAAAACGCTTTGTCAAAACTGAAATTCTGCCAGAAATTGGCTAAGTGTCAGAACCAGTTTGAGTACCCGACTTTGAAGGCTTGAAGGAAGATGGATGAGAACTGCTCCAAGAGGGCGATACTACATGAAACTAGAGGTTTCCTACTACAACCTAGAGGCATTGGGTGACTGAAATGAAGATTGGAAGCCTTCGAATGAAAGCCTGCAAGATCGTTCGAAGACTAGCTGAAGCTGTCTTGCAAAATCAGCAATCCGTTTCGTTTACGGATTAGGACTTCTTTTAACCTTACTATGTTTGCATTAGAATTATGTGCTTGTTTATGTTTTGGACTTTCGTATTAGTTGTTTAGCTAGCCTAGGTCTATTTAAAGCTTTCAATTACGTTGTAATCATCAGATTTTGTTCAATTGAATACAAACCAGAGTTTGATTCATCTAGCTTTGCTACGTGAGTTGAGAAGAGCAACTTAGGAGAATTCTAGGTTGTTTGAGGAACTTGTATCGATCAATCATCACCTTGATTGTAGCCAGGCAGCGTTTATCTATTTCGGGCCTTTCTCCGCGTGAAGAATTGCACGAAATCGACCACCCCATTCATTAACTTTCACCCTATTTTGCTTGAGTTCGAGAATTGAGTTGAGCTCAATTCGTTGCTGTGCGATTCTGGATACAGAGACCCATCTAAGGCCTCATCAAATGGCAATCAGAGCCTGTTTCACTACCATTGGTTATTATGTTGAGTAATGTTCAGTGGATATTATGATGCAACTTATGAAATGTTAATTGTATAAAAGTCATAAAGAGCTCTACAAAATCGATTGATGAAGCAATGAAAGATTTTATATCTTTGCCAAAGAAGTGAATCAATACACGTTAAAAGCTTTGGTCTCTAGGAGTATGTGCTATGTGGTTAGTAACTTTGTTTTCTTTGCCAACTAACACTTCATTTAAAGTACTTAAACCTGTCGTTTCTTTCTTTCAAGATAAAGTAATTAACATCCTTGTTATTGTAGGCTTTTTGTGTTGAAGGTGTAAGCGGGTTTAGGTCTGTTCTTTCTTTTATAAGTTTTTTTCTCTTGACATTATCGGGCAAAAAAATAACAATTCATTGAAAGTGGCTAACTGGTTGGCTAACTGAAAAGTCCAGCAATGGCTAACATAATTTGTATCAACCCATCCATCGCCCACCCTATATATATACCTCTTACTCATGATTATCAAACCGATGGTATGCCAATCGGTACAAACAGTACAACCAATACCGATTACAAAGCCATTTGGAATACTTCAAGTATGACTTGCATGATCGATTTCCTACCTCTTAACAACTGACATTGTTTTGGTGAATTTAATTAATAAAAACTATATATTTTTCTGTAATTTGAAAGTTAAATAGATGTAGGTTTTAAAGAGATAGTCTTTAAGGTTACGTCTTCGGTGCACTCACTTTTTTGGGTGCATTCAATGCACTAACTTCATAATTGACATTTTGAGCAGGCGATTCATGTCCAGACAATGTTAATCATCACGTATGATATGATGAGCAAGAAAACTCATGAATTGGCACAAAAATTATTCCAAATTTACAATAATATGATGGAATTATGGTTTATGGATTTATGGTTAGGGTTCATGATTTGGGGTTTAGGACAAAAGTTCAAACTTGAAGGTTTAGGGCTTACGGTAATGCATTGATTAGTTGTGATCTTATGCTATACCATCATATTACACTAATCTTGTCAATCAAAATAAAAAATTGATGTCTTAAGAATACTTTTAGAGTTGGTGCATTGAGTGCACCGAAGTAGCCACCTAGTCTTTAAATATAATATGTTATATATACCTAATTTCATTTATTGTCAATAGTTTTCCATTTTCCTAAATAGTTTACTAAAACCAAGATAAACTGAAATAAATCACTTGTATCACTAGTAAGACAATACCATTTGTCAAACCAACATAACTATATAACAGATTTGACAACCTTCACCTTACTTCTTACTCTTAGGGAAAAAAGAGGAGCTTACAGTTCACATTGCAGATCTTTCAATGAAAAACATTCCTCATATACCACCCCCGATCTTTAAGCAAGTCCCTGTTACAGTTCGAAATAAGAAAAGAATACAACTAATCATTCTCTTCCAATTTCCACTGCCATGTATATATGAACTAGCAGTCATTCTTATCTAAAAGACCCCATCCAATTTCAAGGGGCAAAGCCATTGGGAGGTAAAAATGCTCCTATCCTGTCTCTCTAATGCTTTGTAGTTTATATACAACTATTAAACCACCACCAGCTGCATAAAATTGATTCTTTCCAACCCTCAGAATCCCAAAACAAAAACCGCAACTCCCCTTTGCAGTCAGTCACTATAGCTGTACAACGTGAAACTTCAGTCCTGTGCACCTAATCATGTGACTCTCCGGTAGAAAAGAACATAAGCAGCAGCAGACCTGATTTTCTCCTTACTAATCGGCAGAACTCGCTGATCATCAAACTCGTACCAGTTACCATGCCCATGCTGCAAACAATGAAGAGAAAAAAAGAGATGTCAGTTTTTTCCGTGACTCCCCTAAAAATTAGCGATTTCGATTCAAAATAATGAATATAACAAGATACTTACGTCCTATATTCACCCTTATAAAAAAAAAAAACAAGATACTTACGTCGACAAATGCAGTATAATGTCCGCCTCCCATGCCTCCGTAGTGGTTACTTATTGCATACAAGACATAATGTTTGGAATGTTTGCCATCATCGTAGGATAAGTAAGATGAAAGATCGAGCTCGTCAATAGGGAAGTCCACATAAGTTTCAAGCTTGTTCTTGAACCATCGACCGTATGAGAATCTCTTCAAATGAACAATTAAAATTTCAGGCAATCTCCAAAGATCCAGCTTTTTTGTTGCTTGCCTAGGCATCTTGCAATCGGGACAGTCCCTGTAGTAACAAACAGAAAACAATGAAATACTTCCACAAAGATTAACTGGAGCAATAAAATTCGTAAATCGAGATAAACATGTACTAACCACATATCATCTGGTCCTAAAGGCTCTTCTTTCAAGAAGGATTCAAGGCATTTGTATAATGGAACAGATTCCTCAGACCCCTCCATGGGGTTGAAGACTTTTTGCAATGGATTGAGCATCCAACTACCGTACTTTGCTATCATTTGCTCTGACCAGCACACATTCACGGGTATAGTACTATAGCTGAAATCAGAAACTGCAAAGGTATCGTCCATCCTTATCTCTTTATCATCCAGATAGAATCTAAAATCAGGAATGATATGCTGACCATCATCTTCAGTTTCATTATCAGAGTCTTCTGTACATTTTGTAGGGCTCATTGCATATTCCATCCCAGAATCTTCGTTAGAGATAACTCTCTCATCATAATCATCAAGTAAAACTTCAACCTGCTTCAGAAATGGATTGACAAGTGTCATGAACAGGTTGTGAAGGCTGAATCCATCAGAGATATCAGATAATCTCGCAACCAATGGAGTCCCAAATAATGACCAAGGTGATGGTTTCTGAAAGTAAGAAAATCCTTCGGGCCTGAAAGAAAGAAAAGGGGGAAAAAAGAACCAAAGAATCAGGAAACATATCTGCACAATAATCAACACATAATACTACGCAAAGGAAAAATAATGAATTGAACCTCACGTTTTCTCACGTCTATGATCAAACTCAACCAAGGGAGCCTTGGATGATTCACTTTCTTTTGACAAACGATAGGCAACAAGTGTGTCATTATCCCTGATCGAGTCTAATGAGCGAGTTGGATCATCAAATATTTTAAAAATAGTATTATTATATATCTGCATAAGAAACCATAAGTTCGAATTAGTACGATATACACTTCAAACTCTCAGTAATGTGAACATCAAATATGCTACAAAAGCTAAAAACACCTACTAACTGGTTAATGAGCATATGATGGAAAAGATACATATTTCATTTGACAGACTAGGAGTTAGGACAACAGTTGACACTGTTCCCTCACAAAGCATATAGTTCCTAAACAAGAATCCATAAATACAGAGTTTTTGTATAATTATTACAGAGAACGATTGAGTATTATTATCAAATAACAATAAGAGAACTAATTTTGCATGTTTTATACCTAATAATATGCTTGCATCTAACTCATAACAATCCCACAGAACTTCAAAGTCTTCAACATGAAAAGTTATATCCATTATCCATAACATACTACATGAGTGTCGTAAATGACAACGTTAAAGAATGGATATGTTATAGCTTACCTCTGCCAATATGAGAGTCTCGTCATTTCTCAAGGAACATGCACTGCTTAAGGTGTCAATGAGATCCTTTAACCTTCCACACTTCGGGACAGTAACTACAACTGGAGATGGTGTACAAACTCCATCAGCACCCAAGATTGTTAGAGTCATTTTCCGCATTGTTGTTGAAGGCAGGGGCAGAGATAGGTACATAAACGGGTCAAATGTGATAGATGACTTTTTACAAATAGGGCAAACCAAGGTTGAGCGATATTGTCCCTACAATAACAATTTGGAAGAAAATGAACTAATATGGGCAAATCGATTTGTGTAATATCAACTGGCTTTTTGATCGCAGGAAAGACATCACAAGTAGGTACTGACACTTGATTGAAGAATGGCACAAAAAACAACTTTGTGTTTCATGATACATGAACAGTAAACGAATAGTGTAGTGCTTCACTGATGCGGTAAAGCACAAACTCTTGCATAACTGAGGACTTACTTGGGAAATATCGACTATAATTGAGTCATTTCTAGCCATATGATTCTGCCAGCATTCTTCTGCAACCTCAACATCTGGACGACCTTCTGAATCTTTACCCTCTATATATGGCTTGTCTTTTACACGATTCAAATCCTCATGTAATCCATCCAACAAAAATGCAAGAAACTCCTGCATAAATAAGATACAAGTAAGAGAATTTGCAATGACTTAATAATTTAGTACTTGTGCAAAATAAAACAAGGCAACCGTAAATGCAATTGAATCAACCACTAGATGAACCTGAGAATCATGTTGATTATAACCACTAAACTGGGGAGCAAAAGTAGCAAGCCTCTGTTTGAATATTGTTGGAGAAATGGAGCTTGATCCTGGAGTCCATAGTTTCCTTAACAAGTCTCCAAATGCCACCGCAAGCCCACCCTAGATAAAAGGAACGTGTAGAAGAATGAGCGGTGCATAAAAGGTGAAATCAACCAAAAAAGAATAGAGTGAACATGACTTACTTTCATTCCGAGTGGATTTTCCCAATTGATCTCTTTCTTGTAGTCATCAAGGAAATAATCAGTCAGCTTTGAGGTGTGTGCCAAACACTGAATTGCGCTATTCATAAAACAAGTATTCCCAAGATTTTGCATCCCTTTCAGACCCAGGAAAACAACCTGTCTATGACCACTAAAGAAAGCTAGGGAGTTTGTAGAGGTCGGGTAAGTCACTGTCCAATCACTGCTTCCATTCGTTTTAATTGAGCCACTATAGTTGAAAGACGATGAGTTGTTATATCCCACCCTCTCGTCTACTTTACCATCTTGCTCGGCGAGAAACTCTGAAAATCCATGTACTTGTAATTCAAGTGTGATCTGTCAAGATGGCAAGAAAGAGAAATTAGTTATACATGGAGAATGAGAACCGTGACCATTTACGTTACAACTCAAATGTCTCACTGATTAGGGGAAAAATAATCGATCAAGGTATGCCAAGCACTACTAATTTGAATAAGTATGATTGGAAATAGTTGACAAACAGGTACCTCCTTTTCTAATGATTTTCTGAGTAAAGCACTAGGCCTCTTAATCTGATTGTTTATAAGAAGTTGAGTTGTCTGGCCAGAGAAATCCCAAATACTCAACTGCACAAATAATATGCATTACAAAATATCTGTGTAAACCAAAATAACACATCTGAAAAGGTACTAAGAAAATGGCTAACCGGCTCGGACTTGGGAGCAAAAAGAGAACAGGCTCTTCGGTATGAAACGAAGAAATTGTCCTGCAACATTTTGTTACATTAGAAAAAGATATACAAAATAGTGGAAGAGGACTTTGCCATTGCATCACAAAGAAAGTTCGTGCTTCGCTTTCTTTAAAAATTTAACTGACTGCCACACTGGAAAAAACCACATGTGATCAATTACTACTGAATGAGGGTATTGCTATTTAAAAGTAAGAAAAGGATTTATGACCTTTGAATTGATCCTTGCAAATAAAGCATTTGCTCCCCCAGAAACAGAAAGCCTGATCTGTAATGAAAATAGATCTTGATCGTTGTCCTTCGCAAGAGAAGGGTAAGCAACATCCTTCGATATACTTTTCAAATCATTATGCCTGCAAAAATTAAGCAAATCAAGATCAAAATTCTAGAGATCCTTAAGTGTATAGAGTTCCACAAACCAACAAGTTCATCAACTATCACACAGACATACACACACATTCTCTAATATGATTTGCTATAATAGCTCATTTGATAATGTTTTTCCCGTATGTTTACCCATGTTGGAACTAAAAGTTACCTCAAGTACACGAGTTAACCTACAATAAGAACTGAACTTCAAAATATGAAGCAACTAACAGCAGTATCTGACAACACTTGCACCCAACAATCGCAGCCCCACTTAAATACACAAGTCATCAACATACAGAACAAAAGAGAGCAACCTTCACTTACCACTTAAGTGCTCGTAACCACATTGTTTCTGATAACAACGCATACTCCCTGCCTGAAAACCCTTCCTCCACATCATCATTCTCCATGGTTTTGTCACCTCTCTTTAAGTAGAGTTCAATCTCCACATCATCATAGCTCGAAGCAACATTATACGAGACTCCAACATGATTTGACATATGCTGCACCTTCCTCCACCATCTAAAAATGCCCCAAAAGCACCATTACGACAACATCACTAATTGAACACCAATAACATCGTGAACCTGAGTTCTAATTATTTCCTAGCAACTAGCAAAAGAAACTAAATTCAAGGGAAAAATCAAGGCAAGGCAAGGCAAGATACATTTAGCTTCAGAGTTCACAAGCATACAGCAATTCGGCTAATTCGCTGGTTCATGTGGAGAAAAAGAAAGCTATTTGGCTCTCGCCCAAAATTCTCATCTGCCCGCCAAAGTATATTACTCTAATCACTGCCCCTAATTATAGCAAGTCAAGCACAAACGATAAAAATAGAGGTGGGGAAGAGCAAGTTATTTGCAGAAAGGGCACCTGAGAAGGACCAAGTAGAGATTTTCGACCTCATTGGCGTCTTCCTCGTCGTCGTTGAGAAAAATCACATTGTGACACTGGTTACTGGCCGAGGAAGACGAGCCGGAGCTGTGGAGATTGTTGAGACCGAGTTCGAATAAGTTGTTGTTGTCGTCACTGCCGCTGGAGGAAAAGTAATCGTCCCCCATAGATGCACCGGAGTAGGAAGCAGGAGAAGAACGACGCAGGGGGAGAAGGGTTTTAAAGAAGGAGAAACGAGAAAGGAGGGTTTCGAAGAAGCGGGAGAAACGAGCGAGCTTGAACGACAGGAACGGAGAGGGTTTGGTGAAGATCGGCAAACGGTTGAGCTTACCGGAGAGACGAAGGGTCATAGGTAGTCAAGGTCGGAGGCAGAAAAGCAAGCAGGGCTGAGGTAAAATTCATGTCAATAACTGTCTCCGTCCGCAATACTTAGGCCTAGGCCGCGCCCGCGCCCTTTTCTATCTATATATAAATCTACTTAGCAAGTAGTCCTAGTGTGAATCAGTTTCAAATTCCTCCGCTTGATGGGCTACCGGCCCAAGCCCAATAACAAAGAGTTTGAAAACCGAAGTAACTCTTTCCGAAACCCGAAACAACAAGGAGATCGATAAGCGCCGCATCCTCCACTTCTCGCCGCTCCGCCAGCCTCTCGCCGTTTTTTCGGTTTCTCCACAGTTCCGTCTCTTAATTCCTCTCATCCTCTCGCTGCCACTCTCTTGTCGCCTGCGCTGCCGTTATTCAGCTGCTCCCGCCTGATTTCTTACTTTGAGGTAAGATCCGGTTCTCCTTTAATCCGATCGCATTCGCTTAGATTGTGTAAAAGTCGGATTGAAACTTAGTGATAGATTGGCCAAGTGATCTAGTTGCAAGTTTTTAGGGTTAATTGCTTGCTGTTTGTGTTGTTTGCTTCTCGCCGTATCTCTTGTGCTTTCGCTTGCATTGAAGTTTAGATTTTTTTTAGGCTGTTTTTGTTCTCCCTATGTAATAGGGAGAGAAGGGAGCGCTGGGTGATTGTTTAAGGCTGTTTCTGAGACTAAGTAGATATCTTTCTCTGCTCTGTGTGTCTTTGTATATAATTAGTTAATTCCCTTCTTAACTTCTCCTGTAATTGGCAGGAAGTTTGTCTCAGAACGGAGTACAAGGCCTGCATAACACAGGAGATTTGAGGAACTGAATAGTTGCGATGGGGAAAAAGAAATCTGATGATGCTGGGGGTGCCGGGAAGGGTAAGGCAGCCACCAAAGAGGCAGCTACGACGGGGAAGAAAGATAAACTCTCGGTATCCGCCATGTTAGCTAGTATGGATCAGAAACCTGATAATCCCAAGAAAGCACCTTCGTCCAGTAAACCCAAGCCTAAGCCTAAGCAAAAAGCTCAAGCCTACGATGACATTGATCTCCCTCCATCTGATGACGATGATGATGATTATGTCTCAGGCGAGGAGGGAAACCAGATGGATGCTCCCAAGAGATCTAACCAGCAGCAGTTCTTGAAGCCCGTTGAGGCTTCTCTTTCAGAAAAAGAGTTAAAGAAGCGGGAAAGGAAGGAACTCCTTGCCGCTCAAGCTGCTGAGTTGGCAAGGAAGGAGGCTCTCAAGGATGACCATGATGCATTTACTGTTGTCATTGGAAGCCGTGCATCGGTCCTTGCTGGAGAGGAAGAAGGTGATGCCAATGTCAAGGATATTTCAATTGACAACTTTTCAGTGTCGGCACGTGGGAAGGAGCTCTTAAAGAATACGGAAGTTAAGATATCCCATGGAAAGAGATATGGTTTGGTTGGACCGAACGGGATGGGGAAATCTACACTTTTGAAGCTTCTTGCTTGGAGGAAGATACCAGTCCCTAAGAACATTGATGTCCTGCTGGTTGAGCAAGAAGTTGTTGGTGATGATAAATCTGCTCTACAGGCAGTTGTTTCAGCTAACGAGGAACTTGTCAAACTGCGACAAGAAGTGGACACATTGCAGAAATTATCTTCAGTTGGTGATGAAGAGATTGACAATGATGATGGCCAGGATGATGCAGGAGCTAAGCTTGCTGAACTGTACGACAAATTGCAGCTAATGGGATCAGATGCTGCTGAAGCTCAGGCGTCAAAGATTCTAGCTGGACTAGGTTTTACAAAGGATATGCAGGCTCGTGCAACTCAGTCTTTTAGTGGAGGGTGGAGGATGAGGATTTCTCTTGCTCGGGCACTTTTTGTGCAGCCAACTCTATTGTTGCTTGATGAGCCGACAAACCATCTTGATCTTAGGGCTGTCCTATGGCTGGAGGAGTACTTATGCAGATGGAAGAAAACTTTGGTGGTTGTCTCGCACGATCGCGATTTCCTTAACACAGTTTGTAATGAAATCATTCATCTGCATGATCTTAAGCTTCACACATACCGTGGGAACTTTGATGTTTTCGAAAGCGGGTATGAACAAAGGCGGAAAGAGGTTAATAAGAAATTTGAGACTTACGAGAAGCAGATGAAAGCTGCCAAGAAGACTGGGAGTAGGGCTCAGCAGGAGAAGGTCAAAGATCGTGTAAAGTTTGCTGCAAACAAGGATGCATCAAAGAGCCGAGCTAAGGGGAAAGTTGACGATGATGATGTGCCTGCTGAAGCCCCAAGAAAATGGAGGGATTATAGCGTCGAATTCCATTTTCCTGAACCCACTGAGCTCACACCTCCACTTTTGCAGCTTATCGAAGTTAGCTTCAGCTATCCAAATCGGCCTGATTTTAGGCTTTCCAATGTTGATGTGGGTATTGATATGGGAACCCGCGTTGCGATTGTTGGACCCAATGGAGCTGGAAAGTCTACCTTGCTGAACCTGCTTGCTGGCGATTTGGATCCTACTGAGGGGGAAGTACGAAGAAGTCAGAAATTGAGAATTGGAAGGTACTCGCAACACTTTGTGGACCTCCTTACAATGGGTGAAACACCTGTTCAGTATCTTTTGAGACTGCATCCAGAACAAGAAGGGTTTAGCAAACAAGAGGCTGTGCGTGCAAAACTTGGGAAATATGGACTACCCAGCCATAATCATCTTACCCCTATTGCTAAACTATCTGGTGGACAGAAAGCTCGTGTTGTATTTACGTCAATATCCATGTCAAAGCCTCACATTTTGTTATTGGATGAACCCACCAATCATTTGGATATGCAGAGTATTGATGCACTAGCTGATGCTCTAGACGAGTTTACTGGTGGGGTTGTCCTGGTTAGTCATGACTCTAGATTGATCTCCCGAGTATGTGATGATGAAGAAAGGAGTCAAATCTGGGTTGTGGAAGATGGAACCGTGAAGTTTTTCGATGGGACGTTTGAAGAATACAAGGAGGAATTGCAAAAAGAGATTAGAGCCGAGGTTGATGATTGATTTTGCAGCAGGTAAGATCTCATTCTTTTGTTGTTGTGATTTGCATGATGGTATCTTGTGAAGATGCGTTCAGTGATTGAAGCATGCATGAACTTTTTTTGTTTTGCTTTGGTTGAGATATACCCATGTAGCTTATATTGAATATTCTAGGAAGCTACTGTGAATGAACTTTGCTTTCTTGTTCCCGAATAGGATGTGTATCTACTCAGACATCCAGTCACTGAAAAATATGTTCTTTCTTTTATTTTGCTTAGTAACGTGTTTTTATTTATACTTGCCGTCTGAGAAACTAAGATGCATTTGTAGAGTAATGCGTTGGGTACAAGACGGCTGTTGGTTACCTTTCAACTATGAGCAGCCTTCAGCAGCTGCTTCATCCATGTACATTGCATGTCTATGCACTGGAGAAGAGGAGCGTTTTTCCCCTATACGGAGTGGAGAACATATATATATGCTGAGAGCATACCATCTGTTCAAACTAGCGAGAACAAAGAGCTACTTCGCTTTCTTGTATACTCAGCAATTTTTCAGTCCAATCTTACTGGTAATAAGGAAAGACATAACTGGTGGCTGATATGTATTGTGGTTCGGTTTCTTGACGAGTTGTTTTTCTTTTCTTTTCTGTTTAGCTTGGTTTTGTACGATTTGAATGAATAAGTGAAAGTCCATTATTCTTATACTGAATCGCCAAATATCGCCCTTAAAATTGCTAACGGTCGCGCTAACTCTAATGATAAATGACTTATATACTCCCAATAAAATTTTAAAGGGTAAATGACACATTTGGTCACTAAGATTATTAAATTGTGTCATGTTTAGTCACTAGAAAAAATTAATATCAATTTTGGTCACTCGAATTACCAAAACTGGTCAAATTTAGTCACTCTCCCGTCAGTTTCCGTCCAACTCCATTAATGTAGTTGGACGGAAACTTTTGGGAGAGTGACTAAATGTGACATGTTTTAGTAATACGAGTGACTAAATGTGACATTTTTCAATAATTCGAGTGACTGGAGTTGGACAGAGGCTACAGAAGAGTGACCAAATGTGACCTGTGTCAGTAATTCGAATGACCAAAATTGATATTAAATTTTTCTAGTGACTAATATGACACGATTTAGTAATCTCAGTGACCAAATGTGTCATTTACCCAAATTTTAAAATTTAAACAAACCAAACAATCCCTAACCCCTCAAACTGAACCTCTCATCTGCCTTCTTCGCGAATCCCTCTCGACGCACCAGTTCGTTGGCGTCTTTTCCGCCGTCGTCGTCGCCCGTTCTCTAACGAAATTTCCAAAAAAACGCTCAACCTAAGGCAAGTTACGGTTGGTCCATGGTGCAACCGCAAGTAAGCTGCGGTTGGTCCATGGTGCAACCGCAAGTAAGCTGCGGTTGGCCCATGGTGCAACCACAAATGAGCTACGGTTCCCTTTTTTTGTTTTTTTTTTCAATTTTTTGAGTGAACTTTACCGATTCAGAGTCGCTAGTCATACTCCAGACATCATATCGACGATTCCAACTCTAGAATGACGATGATGAATTCTCTCTTTTGAATAATGTTTTATTTTCTTTACTAAGTTGTGTTTGTTTGCTAAAGGAAGAGTAAAGAAGCTAAAAGGTTAAATTTGTAACTTTGATGTTTTTTAGGGCGACATTTAGCAATTTTAAGGGCGACCTTTAGCAACTCCCTCGAGTTTTTCCCCCCAAAGTACACACCTCATTAAAAAAAATTCCAAATATACACATTTTATAATAGGGTAAATACCACATTTGGTCACTGTTGATTACTAAATCATGTCATGTTTAGTCACTAGAAAAAATTAATATTAATTTTGATCACTCGAATTAGTGAAACATGTCACATTTAGTCACTCTACCGTTAGTTTCCGTCTAATTCCATTAACGGAGTTGGACAGAGGCTAACGGATAGTGACTAAATGTGACATGTTTCACTAATTCAAGTGAAATTCATAAAAAAAAAATGATAATGCCAGTGACCCGAATTGGACGTAGGCTAACGGGAGAGTGACTAAATGTGACCTGTTTT